GTAGCGATTTGCCGTCCATAAGTCCTGCTCAGAGGCATTCTCAAGGAACTCCTCCCAGTGCCTGCGCTTCGCCTCTATGATCGCCTCCCCGTACTCATTCCTCGCCTTTCGTATCTCTGTATGAGATTCGTGATCTGGCGAGGCTCTGTATCTGTAGGCTAGACGACTTAGCTTCTTCATATTCGTCTTTTGTCGACTTAAGTCGTTATTCCACCACCTTTTCGAAAAGGGACATGGCTTGTTCATTGGAACCCTGGTGCGGATAGTGTCTTGTATCGCCGCCGTTAGCTCTTCCGCAGCTTCCTTGAATTGCTGCTTCGTTTGAAGTATCTGAGGGGGTGGTAGCTCGAGCAGTCGGTCGGCCAAGTTTTCTTGAAAGTCGTCCCAGTCGACAGCCCGGAAGTTGTATGATATCTTTGGAGCTATGCGTTCCTGTGGAAGGGTAATGTAAGTTGCTATGGGGAAATGGTCAGTCGCTGGTGGCCTGAGCGACGGGTCGACCTCGCATCGAATGATCAGGTCATAGATGTCTTCCGTGCACCAGAAGTTGTCAGGGCGGGAAATTTTCTTGGTGACCATGTGTTCGAGGGTCGGCTGCCCCTTTGGAAGGGCCATCTTTAAATTAAGGTCAGCTAGCAGCTCAATTAGCTTCCCCGCCTCCTCCAGTGCCGCAGGTGTGAAGAGTCTGTCATCCATTTCGTCGTCCCACATGGGATGGTGCCTGTTGAAGTCGCCTGCGAGTATTAGTTGGTCGTCTGCCCTGGATAGAAGCTCTGCCCGGTTTGTGCGTAGGTATTCGTGTGTTAGTCGAAGGGTTCTTGAATGCGTGCAGTCGTTGTATATATTGAGGATGGTCAGGCGTCCGTATAAGCCGGTTAGTTGAATAGCCGTGATGTCGTTTGTGCCGGGGATGTTGAGGATCTTCCATGAACTGGTCGCCAGGTCGGAGCTGACCCACATTATCGATCTTGTGGTTGGTGTGTCGTCCTTGTATCGGTCCACTGGTATGACCACCACGTATCCGTTGGGCGTCCTGATGTTTCCCATGGCCGTCACATGAGGCTCTTGTACCATGACGATATCCCAGTCCTTTCTCGACACTTTATTGTATAGCTCCAGGTGGGCCTTCGATGACTTGTTTAAATTGATCTGTAATATCCGTAACCTAGTTGGCGATTGTTGCAGTTGTTCAGACATGGGCAATGACTTGGGTGGTGGAACTGTCAGGGGGCGGCGAGCCGTTGCTTGAGGCCGGGGGAGCTATAGGGGATTCTGGGTTAGGAAAAACAGGAGGGGGAGACTTATCCGCTGGGGTCTTCGATTGCTGACGTGCCCGTGAATCCCTGGTGTACGGTCTTCCACTTGGGGCCGCGGGCTCGAAACCCAGTTGAGTTTGCCTGTACCTGTCTTTCTGTGAGCCTGGTTGTACCGTATTAACATGAATCTCAGCCTGTGGTACTCGGCGGCCATAGGATGGGTAGGATGGAGCCCATGTCCACGATTCCTTTGCTGGGAAAAAGGGTAGATCGTTGGCCGGATCCCTGGCGTTGAGTTCATCTATCTTCCGGAGGAGAGTTGGACAGCCGCGGTCCCAGCTTGTATGAGAGTGCGTCCTGCAAGACTTACAGTAAGTAACGTCTTGCGCTGAGCACTTACTCGTCCAATGATCCCCCCCACATGTACCGCATACATTCACCTCCTTTGCGATGATGCATTCCAGAGCGATATGGTCCCAACCTTGACACTTGAGGCACCTTATGGGCTCCTTCTTGCACTTCGCTACTGAGACCCTCTTGTGACATATTGACAGACCGTTGACTATCGCCCGATTGGCCGATTCCGCGTCCGAGAATGTGGCAATTACGTGGGCGAAACGTTGGTCTGGTCGTCTTCGTGCTGGGGGCTTGATCCACCTCAGTTTTGTCAGCGCACCCTTCGGTATGTTGTTCATTTCTTCAATCTCCCCCCTGTCCTTTTCACTGTTAGCATCCAGGTTCAGCGGCACGTAGTAGGCGACGACATTGAACGACCTCGTCTTGAAAGAGGCTTCTGTCTCCCCTAGCTCCTGCAGGAAGGCCTCTGCGTTGGCCTTGGAGGCCAGCCAGGCCACGCCGTCGTCTGTGACCATTTCTACCAATATGCCGCCGTTTTGTAGCTTCAAAGCCGACCTAATTTTGTGCTGTTGTCCTGTCGCCCTTCCCATTGCCTCTGCGAACTTGCCCACCAGAGCCAGATTGGCGCAGTTGCTGAGGCTTGATCCCTTGGGTAGGTTGATTAGAGATTGTCATTGCCTGATGTTCTCCTTCGCAGCTAGACGAGGGTTAGCATCCATTGGGGCTCCAGAGGCCGTCCTTGTCAACGCGTCCCTGTATGGGGAGCTGGCTGTGTTCCCTGCCTGTTGTGCCGCTTTTTCGACCACTGCTGCTAATTCCACTGTCTTTTCTTTCAACACCTCCGTCTTCTTCTCCAGCTCCTCCATAACCTTCTCTGTGAGCACCTCCGTGAACGTCTTCAAGTCGTTGGTCAACTCGTTGAGCTGAGCATTGGCGATATCCCTAATGTCTTCCGCCACTACCTCCAGTTCGACGTCTCTCAACAGAAAAGCGACCGCGCGTACTGCGTTAACCGCAGGGAGGGCAACGCCCGGCATGGCCGCGATCTGGAAGAGCGTCGTGGCGAGTGCACCCAAAGTGAGCAGTGCCCCCGCCGGAACCATGAGCAGCCTTCCCTCGAGGAAAGATCTCCCTTTCTCTGAGTCACCGATTTCGTGTTCGTCTTCATCTGTCTCCACCGCCCCGGTGGCTCTCGTCTTTCCTCGTTCCTGTACTTCTGTGTCGATTGGTCGAGTTTGTCGAGTGGTCGTCACTTTACCTTTTTGTGGCGGAGCCGCCTGACTTTTGGGCTTCTGCCCGGTCCCAGACATGCTCTAGCCTCTGAGGTTGTTATTAGCTGGTTTGGTAATAATATAAAAGTTTTTTGAAAGCTGTATGTAGGCCAGAATGCAAGGGGGGAGCACAATTTTAATTTAATATATCATGTTGATTTTTTTGACAAGGCCAATATGGCCAGACTAACCAACCAGGCGTGGGTAGTGTTGCCAGAGCTTGGCTCGGCTTGGCTGAGCCATGTGAGCCAAGCCAAAAGTAGCCAAGCAGAGCTGTTCTCACCACTTGGGCATCCCCAGCGGCTGCACCCCGCTTATGAGCCAGCTCCTTGATGGGATAGCTGGCTCAGCCACGGCTTGTATCCTATTTTGGAAGTAACAATACAAACAAAACCATAGCTTTGACAGTACAAGCCTTCTTACTCTGAAAATTGACCTCAATATGGACACTGATGTAGCTAATTATTCTGCCAACTTTGAAGGCTGTCGAGCAAGAGCTCACATGTACAGAGCTGATATGTTATATATGTGACTTTTTGGTTGTGACATGTGACAAACAAATGCTGTCACACATACAGGTAACCAGATCTCTCAAATTTTATGGCCAGAAAAAGTGACAAAGAGACATCAGGGTACTTGAGAGAGTGATGGTTATCCTTTGGATTACTTCCATTCATTTATTAAAGGTTTTTGACTGTAACTGCAACACTAAAGTAAAGGTTCCTTTTTTTGGTGATGAGCTGCTAGCTAGCCATGATTTGAGCCGCTGTGCCTGAACTGGAGCCATCATTTTGGCAGCTTAGCTCAGCTCCAAGCTCCCACACTGCCCGCTTTGGGCAAAGCTGAGCGGGAGCCAAGCTAAGCCAAGCTCTGGCAACACTAGGCATGGGAACAACCTTCCATATATAGGTAAATCTATAAATAGGTAATGTGTTTTGGGATGTCAGCAGCCATCTTATCCTTTGTTTGCTGCCCCTTCCTCTACTTTTCTTCATGCTCTTACATGGGTCACAAATCCAGTCATTGATATTAAGACCCACTGGCAGTCCAACCCATGAAAAGTGGTACTGCATAGTCAGTGGTCAGGCTGAAATGACACAAAAAGAAAATGACCTACCCACAATGTCTCACAGCCTTTTTGCCCACAGATAATTACTCTGCTTTTGTCCTCTGCCTCAACTGCATCACTCTCACCTCAATTACAATGTGGACAGAAAACAGTTTTATCATCTCAAATATTGTCCTCAATCTATATCATATACCAGGCTTCTTAGATCACAAGTGTGAATAGCATAGTAAGTACTGCACTTGGTAAGTGAGGACAGCTTGCAGAACGCCTCAGAGAGCGCACTGAGCTCATCCGACCCATAGATTACCCGAAATTGGTACTTTAAATAAAAAAAATTAACGGCCTACCAGCCGAACTAACCAACCAACCCCATATAGCAGATTCAAATCCCGCTCCCCCCTTGCCAGAATGCGTGTTGCAGTCGACGAGTCGCCCAAAATTTTTTGGGGTCCTAGTCGGGGTGCCACGTGGTTCAGGTCCAAGGAAGGTCCTCGCGGGGCGTTGGGGCACCACGACGCGCAGCTTTGGCGCACCCCTTCTTTGATGCACCCCTCCAATGCGTGAACCGAACTTATCAGAACTACAAGGCTACTGAGACTGCTTCGACACGTCATCGACTCATCGCAGTGCGGCAAATCCCGCCAATCCTCAAACTTACTGCTAACCAACTCCTAACCAGCTGAAATATGACACTCTCCACTCCTATTCAATCTACAAACCACTCTTCACACAACCATCGAAATGTCAATGCCTCTCTTCCCTGAAGAGCAACTCGACTCTTCCCTTGGCTACTTCTCCGCCCAACCAGCCCAAACGCTCAAAGACGGCACATGGACAATAGCTCGCAAGCTTGGGTGGGGTCCGCGATCATCCACCTGGCTCGTCATCGGCGAGGACGATCAACACCGCGCCCTGAAAATCTTGACCGCGACTGCGACCGCCGACCCGACCGCCAAAAACGAGCTTCATTTCGTCCACAAGGCCATGGAAGCCATCACACGTGGTGTTCCCCAGCTGCTTGACACGTTCGAGGAAAAGGATGAGCGGGGGAGAAGTCACTTCTGTCTGTTATTCAGGCTTCTTGGATCGTCCGTTGAGGATCTGAGGCGAGGGAACATATATCATGTGCAGAATCTACCACTTCATATCGTCCAGAAGGTTATTGGCGATATTGCGGCACGTCTTGAAGGTCTTGCTACTCAGAACATCATTCACGGTGGTAAATCTAACTATCTATTCATGAATATTCGAGTTGAACACATACTCCCGCTTCAGCTGTAACATCCGACAACTTTCTCTTCTGGTCCGTCCAATGGGGCGTCGACGTGCGAAAAGCCCTCGCAAATGTACCGGCTGACAAGCCTGTCACGGTCCAAGGAAGCGATGGAGTTTCGTATCCTACTGTCAAGTCTCAGCCGAGTCCGAACCACTATACATGGGAATCTAAAGCGGACGATATTGCCTATGCGACATTCCATCTTGCCAATTTCGCGCACGGTAATGCCTGTCTTTTCTATTGGTTTCACGATCTTATCGTTAATAACTCGCCAGACAACTGCCACAACCCTCAACACGCCTAAAAACATTCAACCACCCGAAGCCCTCACAGGGGGTAAAATCGATCTTACATCTGATGTCTGGGCGCTCGGATGTGCAGTGAGTTTAATCCTCATCCCCGCCCTTCATCTTTTTTGGAACCCGCGCTCATCGATGATGCTTAATTAACCAGACATACCTCCTCCTCACTGGAAAGCCCCCATTTGACGCATCGTATGTCGCATCGCCTGTCAAAGTCGCACAAGAAACCCTTGGCAAACTCGAAAGTCTCCTTGCTGAAAGTGCGAACATCGCAGAGAAAGATCTCGCCCCGACTGCAAAGTTCCTCAGGATGTGCCTTTCTGTTGAAATTGCGAATAGGGCGACGCCACTTGAGCTGCTGGAAGGTGGTTGGGTTACGAGTGGGTGCGCTTGTGGGTGGTGCGGTTACTGACATAGTACTGGATAGGTTACGCGACGTCTGACAACTGGCTCCCCCGTTCAGTGCAGTACACCAATTTGACACCAATGGTTTCCTGTAAGCTTTGAAAATGCTGATTGCATACGTAGCCGTGCAGAGTTCGGACTTAACTGTACTATTCTTCAATTCTTCAATTTAAAAATACGCTCGTAAAAGCCCAGCTCCCTTTCCAAAGCATCGGACATGTTCTTTTCCTGACGCCAACCATGCCCTTCACCCTCATACAATTTAAATTCCACCACACCGTGTCTGCGCTTGATGCTCTCATAAATAGCTTCGGATTGCTCCTTTGGTACGACCCTGTCAATATCTCCCTGTAAAATCTACGCCAGCAACTCATTGAGCAGAACATAGAACAATGTTGCACGGGCGACATACCAATAACGGAACAACAATCTTATCCGCGTGGTTAATAGGGGACCTCGCTTCATATACCTCCGGTACCTCATCATATGAACCACCAATAAGCTTGTCCAAATATTTAGATTCAAATTTATGAGTGAACTCAGCGAGCATCTTGAAGTTCGAAATCCCATAGCTCGACGTGGCTGCTGCGAACGCCCGGGTGTCCGAGCTGATAGAAAGAGCGGCAAGGACTGTATACCCTCCTGCGGATTGCCCGCGAATGACAACACGCTTTGGATCGATGAGTGAGTAAGGGGGGTTGGATAGCGCGCGCGATGCGAGGATACAGTCTTCCACGTCTACAATACCCCATCGTGACGCGAGTCTCTGGGTATAGGCACGTCCGTACCCGTAGGACCCGCCGTAGTTTACGTCTAACCTGTTACGAAAGTGTGTAGTAAAATCCAGATTTGAAGTGATTCAAGCGCGTACCATCCCCAACCACGCGAAGTGAAATACTGTTTCTTCCACTCTAGCGCCTGATTCGAGAGGCCTGTGGGACCACCATGAGCATTGAGCACACAAGGGGGTAATTCCCCCTCCATGCTGCTCCCAGAGTATTCGGGGTTCTGGGGAGGATAATACACAACATGGAGCGGTTCGTCCTTCGGGGCAATCTTGAGCGTCAACGGACGAGGTATAGATATAATTCCAGCAGGGAACATAACCGTTTTAGAGGCCTTCAGTAGGGAATCAAGTCTCAGCTCCTTCAATGGAGACACCGATCCGCGGAAGATGGACTCCTCGTCGTCTAACGCATGGCCATTGAAAACGAACTCCCCCTTCTCCAAAGACACTGTACGAATAACGTTGACCACGACGAACGGGCTCTCAAGCAAAAGAGGCTGAGAGCCCCCCAATAAATCGACGAAGTACAAGATCTCGCGCCCGTCCTTGATAGCAACAAAAATGGCCTTGGTGCCTTCAGCATCTATCACAGCGTGTGGAGACCAATTCAGTGACCAAAGAGGTCGACCGAAATCTTCTGGTACGGGCTCGGGAAATAGGGCTGCGGCTTCTCCTGCAGTATACTTCCACGGATTGACGTAGCCTGATTCATCAGAGGTAAAAATGAGAGTGTCGTTATTCGCCCAGGAAGGATAGCATGCGCTGATTTTCTCCCTGACCCCTGCGACGTGGGTTTCGTTTATGATCGCGAGGATGCCGTCTGCGTTGAGGGACACGTCGCCAACGAGAATCTGGCCACCCTCCCATGGCATATCCGGGTGATACCATTGATTCCATGCGAGGCGGGTACCATCCGGAGAGAACTTTGGCAACGCGTAGAAATCGGCGCTGGAAATCAGAGGATGGATGGATTTGTCCTTGGTATTGATGATACATAACGAGGTTACGATGCCGGCAGGGGTGTCGTCTGTATGGTCTTCTAAAACGGAGACGAGGAGATGGGTGTGTATGGGGTGAGGCTCGAAATTGGCGTATCGATATGGGACTTTGTCTTGAGAGCTGAATGTTAATAAAGATATCTGTGAGAAGGTTACGACTCACCTGGGGTTACTGGTTCTGGCTGATTACCATCCGAAATTCGATAGACGCGCCCATCCGGTAAATGTGAGAAGTAAATGACACCAGCGTGAATGACCGCCGCTGATCCACCGTATTCCTGAACGCCCGTTCGGACATTCCAACCTTCCCCGACTACATCCTTGTTTGATTTGGTGTGAACGAGAACGTTACGCCCCGCCTCGGACGGGCGTTTCTCGACTTGGTAGACTTCTGAAGTAATAGCGTCGACAATAACATCTGCGATGCCGTTTGCCTTGAGAATTATGAGTAAACACGTCGCGTATTGTGGAGAACGGCAAGACGTACCCCTTTAGTTATGGCTTGCGCCGTAATAGGCGATGACCAGGTCCCATACGGCGCTGTAGAAGAGACCATTGGTATGGATCTGATGGTGATAAGCAAGAGAATCGTGTGTGGCAAACAACTACAAAGCAGCGAAAATCCCACTTTTGAGATTCCGCCGAAAACTTTAATTCTCGAAATGGTCATACCTCACATGACCTGTGGGAACGACGCCGAAGTGACGCTCGTCGCTCACAAACCAACAACCATACCACGCCGTATACCTTCCCTCTCAGAATCTCCCACCCGTCAACCTGTCTCAAGTCCAACCTGACAGCTTCTGAAACCGAAAATTATCCCAACGTAGGTACAGAAACCCCGTCCCAACTACGCAAACCACATCCAGCGAGGGTGCGAAACGATGAGTCCAACGACGAGTGCTCAACCACGCCGTGGACGATAAAAGCTGCCAGCGCTGAAGAGAAGCAATCGGCCGCCCGACGCACACGACAGGACTTGGACACGGCCCCATCTACGCAAGTCCGACACCAACGACAAACATATACCAGGACGAGTGAATTCCAAAGAAGCGCGGAGGATATCTAAGCGACCACGACGCGATTCACTTGGCATGGCGTGGGATAACACCCTTCCAGGTGGGAAATGGTGGGGCTGAGAAGCTAGGGGATCCGAGTCGCGACTGGTATGTGGACCTCCCCGCTGTTAAGAACGTTGCTCTAGTCAAGCTCCAGTGGCATAGGTATTACAGATAGATATTTTGTATTGCCAATATGTAGTAGTTACTGTATTCCCTTGTAAATATTCTTCATCTTAGAAATATATCAGTGCCAAAGCGATCACTTATTTTACGTACTTATGACTTCGCGCGATACGCGTTTGGGCGCTTGTTGGGTGCAGCCTTTGGGCCGTCATCACGTGATGACGCTCCTTTTTAAGAATTAAGGTTTTCGGCGGAAAGTGATCAACTCGAAAATCCCACAAACTCGATTGCTCTTGCGCTTGCTCAAAGTCATTTTGCTGCTTTGAAGTTACCATATTCTTATCTAAATTCACTCTTTCAACGTTCAACGTTCAACGCGCAATCTCAGGAGAAGTGAGCATGGATAAAATAAGATAAGATTAGAATCACGTGCCCCTGCCAGCGTCCAGACTTTGAGTCGTTCATTCAACACCACGATGATCCACCTTTTCGGCGAAGAGAAACGACGAAATATTAATCTTGGCGGGGCATCGAAGGTCGCGAGTCAGGCCGAACTTCTTGAAGCAGCGCGAGGACGACGTAATGAACGGTGATGCTGCTGTACGAATTCAATCGTGGTGGCGCGGAGTCAGAGAGGCGAGGGAGGTCAAGATAAGACTGAGGGGCGCATTCGAAAGGGATGTAGCTGGCCTGGATGGGTTTAGGTGTCTGGTCTTGATAGGGGGCAAGGATGAGGAGGCGCTGGGTATATGGTCAAGTCAGATGGTGCAAGACGGGGAAGGTGAGTGGCTTGTAAAGCATCTTTTTCACCGCAACTTACTCTGTCATAGCACTTTTGTTTTCCCCGGCCTTGCAAGGGTCTGGGGAAAGCTGGTTAGTGCTCATACGCCAGGTCAGTTTGCTATTAGTGCAGTCGACTTCGAGACATCCACAGCACGCTCTCCAGCTAATTTATCAAGAGATTCTCACCGTTTCTTATCTTTAGATCATTGTACGCACCATCACACATTCAAGTCCTCAACCAACTACTTTCCTGCGAATCGACGAAGCGCGTATCAGGGCCACCAGGCGTGTATAGCCATAACCAGTTATCTCTTGGAACGCAATTTCTACACATTAATATCCCAGGTCATCCGACAGACAGTAAGCCACTTCTTATACTCAATTTCACCGATTTCACGTTCGTCTCTAGCCTACGCAATCCAAGATATCCCCTAGCCTCATTTCCCTCGTCACGGCGCCACTCGCCACTTTCCCCTCGCCCTCCCCGTGCATCAGCCCCATATTCACCCACATTTTTACCATTCCGCTTCTCCCAAACCGGATCCCACTTGACTCGCTGTCTCGTTTCATAACCCACATCCCATTCTCGGATCGATACGTCCTAGAGCAATATAGCGCCTTAATAACCAGTTCCACGACTACAGAAGACAAAGTTCACCTCGTGGCAAACCTGCAAACCTATGTTTATTGCCCCTCACTACTCGAAACTCGGTGGCCGCTCTCTGTCAATGTATCTCCGTTTCCTTGCAGTCCATCATTCGTGGAGGTGGGGTAAGGAGCCCGGTGGAGGTAATAGATGGTAATAAAAAGATGTTGTGTGGAAGAAGTGGAGAACACATTTTCTCTCTCTCTCTTCTTCGCCGGCAATGGATCACAAGCCCACGGAAAAGGTCGTCGAGACCACTAGCATTGTGGACTCCGACGCTCCTTACCATGCGGAACTATACGATCCCTCCAAAGAGTCGATCTGGACGCGACTTGGAGTCAACTTTGAAAGTTTCAAGCGCGCTCCGGGCACCACTGGGTACGTGCTTCATAAGGCTCGCGTCGATCATGACTTACTTTGATTTCTATTAGTGGTCAGGTCGTTGCCGGTGCTAGCAATGTCCAGGACCTCGAAAAAGTCGTGGCTGATGCCCCGATGCTTCAACAAAAAATGAAGCCCAGACATCTTCAGATGATTGCTGTCAGTGCGTTCGATCTTCCCTCCGATTTTTCGAGTGCTGATTCCACTCACTTCAGGCGGCAGTATTGGTACTGGTCTATTTGTCGGTTCCGGCTCTGCGCTCCATCACGGAGGGCCTGCTGGAGTCTTAGTTGCGTGGCTTCTCGTTAATCAACGTCACACAGGTAGGTCTTTTTTCGAACACGCTTCAACGAGGATCTAACTTCCCTTCGTTTTCTTCGGGCTCTCGGTGAAATGTCTATCCTTTATCCCGTCTCTAGAGGCTTTTACACTCCGTCCGCTCGTTTCTTGGACCCCGCTTTTGCCTATGCCATGGGATGGAATTGCGTCTTCCAATGGGCTGTCGTCCTTCCGCTTGAGATCACTGTCGCCGGGACAACAGTTCAGTACTGGGGCAAACATATTATGCCTCTAGCTGAGTGGATTACGATCTTTTATGTGGTTATCAGTGAGCCCTCTCTTTCTTTTTATCCTAGTGCGATCATCTTGCTAAGAACCATCTCAGTTATCGCTAGCGTCTTTGGAACACCGGGTTTCGCCGAAGAAGAATTCTGGTCGTCATGCCTCAAAATTTTCGTTGTTATCATGTTCATTTTCATTGGCATTGTCTGCATGTGTGGCGGCGGCCCCAAGGGTGGAGAGTATGATCACTACATCGGCGGGACATTCTGGATCCTGGCCCGTTCACTGCTGGTTTCAAGGGTATATCCGCAGTATTCGTCACTGCGGCTTTCTCGTTTGGTAAGGCGACTTTTGGTTGGTCTGGCTGCTTCTGAGACTCCTAATCCACGTGAGACTATGCCTGCTGCCGTGAAGGGTACCTTTTGGCGTATCGTAAGTCTTGGCTCTTTGATCCCTGAATGCCTTTATTGATTTATTGACGCCTTGGGATAGACGCTCATTTATGTCACCTCCCTGATCATCATCGGCCTCCTCATCCCCTGGAATGAGCCTCGTCTGCTTGGTGAGGGAGGAGCCGCCGCATCACCTTTTGTCATTGCCCTCGACAGTACTAGAATCAAGGGTCTCAACCGTGAGTTCTGTTTTATTAAAGATGCAACGTATACATTTAACAGGAAGCTCTTTATAGATTTTGTTAACATAACGATCTGCATTTCGGTCCTTTCCATTGGACTGTCATGCGTCTACGCTGGATCTCGCACACTGACGGCCCTCGCAGAAACTGGCTACGCCCCAAAGATCTTTGCGTATGGTGCGTAGGCTCTCTAACCTCAAGACTTATCTCAAGACCTTCTATGCTCTATTCACATAGTTGACAAGTCCAGCCGACCTCGAATCATTCTCGTCTCACTGGTCATGGTCGCCCAATTTTACGTGGTGCGTTGTTAAGATCCGGATTAAATGATCGCTCAGCGCCTTTGACACACGTTTTCGTAGGCTCTTTGGCCCGCTGGCGGGATGTCCAGCGATCCTAAAGAGGTCGCGATTAATTTCTTCTGTACGTCAATTTCGCCGATTCACCCAAATATTGTCTTTGTCTGAGCACTCGTTCTGGACAGCTGCGTACCTCGCTTTCCCCGTGATGATTATCTTTTACATCATTGGTTTCGCCTGGAAACGCACATGGCCTCTACGAGCTTCCGAGATCAACCTTGACCAGGGTCGCAAGTCATGGCTTACAGCAGGTGGTGATGCCAGAACCACATAGCATTTTTAGCCTAAAATTTACTTCGCAGAGCGTGAGTACATTGTTTTTGGAAGCATTCAGCGCTACAACGCGTCGGTTAGCTCACGCGAAAAGTTTCCAATCCTATCATTCCAGCAGGCATATATCCTTGTGCAAATGGGGACCTTCTAATGATATCAGCCAACGGCAACTGAACTTGAAGTTATAGGGCGAGTCGTGACTCACCAAGTTTCCTGCCTTGTATGCTACGAGTTAGCTGTACGTATAAGTGACCGAATGGTTCAAGTTTTTCAAACCTAACCAAGCCTCAAGGTCTTCGCTCGCATCAGAGTATAGAATTCATTCGCAGTTCCGTGTTGTTAGACCGGTGACCGTCTGTATATGAAGAAAGTCCTGCGTATATCGAAGTTCTCATATACAGGCTGGTCACGAGCCTACCGTGTTGTCGCGAGGGGCAATTTGTCAGAACGTTGAACCCGCTGGGGCTCTGAGAATCTGAGAATCACGCTCACGCTCGGCTTACCCCGAACACTCCAATGCCAAACAACCCACACTACACCACGTCGACACCATGGAGACGAACTCGATCGATGACGCTGAGCTCGATCGACAACACCTTCTTTCTCTATGCGCCTGAGGCACCCGAACGTTTTCCGTTACTCATCTGGCTGTGAGCAATGCCAGTGAGTACTAGGACTCGGAGGGTAGGACCATGGGCTAGCCAGATGGGTCAGTACAACACTGCCAGACCTGGGGTTTATTTTTCTTCCTTCTACCCGCTCTCGATCCTCAAGCATGCCATGCCGACTCCCAAGTGGCTCAAACCATAACCTGTAAATTTTCAATACAACCCACCTCATAAAGGATGGGAACCTCGAATTTTTCAACGACTGCTTGTTGCTCGGTATGTACATGCTTTCCTTCAATTTTGACTCACTTACCCATTCGATAGGCCCAGATGGCTGAGAACTTGCCACGGCCGAATATCAACCTCCGGCCAACACCACGGGCTCAGTGCCCTGAAAAAGATTGTGGGCGACCAACTCTGGGGAAACTCACACTTTGTGAACACCCAACGGTCATAACGAACTGGGGCCGCTATTTTCAAAAGGTATGGCCATGCATGTTGCGACATCCTTATGAGATACTAACACTCACCTTCTAGTGCACCGCTCCTGGCTGCCCGGGTTTCTTTTGGCATGACGAGCGGACACCTGAGGACAAGATCCCCGAAGCCGTTCGACTACATTTCGTCTATCGAGAGTCTGTCTCGGCAACGAGAGAAGGACTTACGTGCGGCAGGGACAAGTGCACGCGGCGGGCAAATGTGGACTGTGAAAAGTTCCCCCAACATTGCGCACCGTGTTGCCGAAATCTAGGAGGGTGTAGGGTACATGGGCAGAAGGATCGTCTGGTCTCTTCACAGCCCCCTGCCTCACAGCCCCCCTCTTCGCAGCCCCTTTCTTTGGAACTCTCCTCTTCACAGCCCCCCTCCTCGCAGTCCCCCTCTTCGCAACTCTCCTCTTCACAGCCCATTTCTGTTGTTCCTGCCACCGTTGCTAATGGTACATTCTGAATTGATTCACTGTCTCAAATTACTAACTGCAACACCAGTGACTACTCCCACTTATGCTCGCCCATTGCGCGACGACTATGCGAGGCCACTTCTTGACGACCACATCCGGCGAAATGAGTCAAACAAAAAGATCACGGATGACCGACAGGCAGCTGACGATTTGAAGAACAGGATGCAAGTAATACTGTGGAATCGGGTATGTTTCATTTATAATTTACTCTATCTGCACTCATACTAGTCACGTAGCGCGGCGAGAGTCCCATTCGCTTCAATCTCGTCAACTCTCGCCCAGGGACCCTAGTGCCTAGTGCACACACCATCTTCATGGAGTGTATCAGCCACTCTACATCGATTGAAGTGCTCACCCGACTCCCTTCCTCTTCCCGGCCTGCGGAATGGTTGATGCAAGATGTCACGTGCCCTATCTTAGCTCCCTCAAGCTCTCGCATTCTCATGCGAAGGCCTTTTTTCAAAGACGAGGATTGCTCTGGCATTGATGAAGAGTTGTCCTATTTTATAGGTGGGACTTCAACCGACGCTGTCGCCACTCATGTACCTGCCCGGGCAACCTCCGTGCCCCCACTCTCCTTTTCTTTGCGTTCCACTGGGACCCTTGCCCCTGCCGTGTCGTCATCGAGTATCACAGTCACCATCCCCAACAAAACTGTCCCTCACGAGACGTTCCCCCTTGCATACACGGTCGATATGGCAAAGGGTTTGGATCTCATGGGAAACTTTCACAATGACAACGACATCCGCAACGCCTTCGCGATCCACTTTCCGACCTGCAAGTATGTGCAATCGACATATTACCGGCACAGAAGGCACTTCAAGCAGGCAAAGAAGCTCGACATCCTTCAGACATATATCAATTATGGTCGCACGGATGAAGGCTTGTGGGTAAATCTAGTGGTGGAGCTTTCAAAGTGTACGTCGTTCGCCTTCAATCTTGTTCAAGAGCTAATGTAACATACACTACAGTACCTGCCACAATCTCTGCACCTGCATCGTCCCTCCCCCTTGTGGAGCCAACTTCTCCACTCCACACCCCACTCGTCACGCTGCCTGCAGCTGATTCAACCCCTGACCCACCTGTGTCCTCTGCTGCTTCGGTGGCGGGTGATGATGATGACTGGACAATCAGATCTGTACAAATGGAGTGGTACGAGGAAGGACCTGATGGTTTGGAGACGAGGTCTACTGGCAAAGAAGTATCCATGATATACTTGTACAGGGACTGTATGAGTGGTTCTCGCAAGACGATATGACAGGTATGTTGGGAGGTAGTCCTAGCGAGTCTCAACTGAGTCCTATCATCTTTTAGATGGTTGGCGATCATCCCACCCTTGGAACGGAGATGACAACCTTCGCCATCAAGAGCATCCACTTACCTGGCCAATGGTGGAGCCAGTCTGGGAGTAAGTTGCACGCTGTATGGCATGCAGGTGCGAGGATGGAGCAGTGCAGACTCCTTGCGAAGAAATTCCATTTAAGTCTAGCAACTAGAGTTGGATTGACGAAGAAGGGTATGTTGGTTCTCATGTACTAATCCACTGGCTGGCCTCTCACTTCGATATATAGACTTTGATGTCTTACCCACCTATCTCTTCACTTCGGGGGATGTGTGGTGTGTGGTAGCCCAACTATGGAAGACAGGTGTTCGGTACAGCAGTGGTGGGGAGGCTGTGTCAATCATGAAGCTCCGTCATCCCCAAGCCTATGACGCGCTCATTGCATTTAGTCATTTCGTGTTTCACTCCACCGACGGTGCTCTGTTACATGTTGATTTCAACTGTAAGCTCTTTCTTTGACTTCGTTGCATCAAATAATAGCTCATCATGGATTAAGGTATATGGACCCTCCCTAGCTAGGTGTACATTGTTGACTGCCAGACCCATGCCAGGTATGTCATTGCTATGGTCCCTTACATTCTTCTGACCATTACTTTGACAGTGAACATGATTGCGATGGACATAATTACCTTGGCAATGGTGGCCAGGTAGCACTAGACAACTTCACGAAAAGCCATGTTTGCAATTACCTCTGTACTAGCCTGGGCCTCGTACCATTTTAGTTACTGATAAAAATTACTTGTTTGTTTAACCATAACTCATTCATTACAAAAATGTACATCCAGTACTAGCAGTCAGGAAACCATGCCTTCACCGGAACATGCCATGGATGGTGTCCCTTTGAATGTAACTGCGAAATGGTATATCGATTTCTGTGTTTGATCATCTCATCAAGGTAGAAATTAAAACGTGTCACCTCCATATCACGAAGAATTGCCTGATACCCCCCAAGCCATACATTGGTTTGCTCGCAAATGGAAGTATTAAATTTCCACTTGTTGTTTGCATCGATAAGCTCCGGAAATGCTGCAGGATTGCAATGTGTTTGACAATGGAGGTCGGACTCCTTGTGTTTGGTGTTGAAATGGAAGACATCGACAGGCATGGCTGTGTCTTTGAAATGCTTGTCACCTATTACACGTTGATGTGCGACCAACTTGCAGTTGTTGTCAAAGATGAAGTACTTGGGAGTAGATTCAGGTGTCGGAAACGTAGCCTTCACAAATGTCTAAGGAATGGGGTTAGTACCGAAACACCTGGCATGGGAAGGGGAAAAAGTGGCATACATTGACAGCAGATATAGCTTCTGATCCAAAGAATGTCACTCGCGAGAGAATGATGCCACAAGGGCGCATAATCAACTGTTCATTATGTGTTCGTCACCTTCCAAACATGGCTCGTAGTTTGCGGTTTCCGGTTTCTGGTTTTTCACCACAACTCATGTTGTCTTCCTCCATTGTTGCTTCAATGATAACCTCGTCATCGCCTTCGCCAGTGTCCAGGTCCAACAGTATTGAATTTACAGGTATGGCTCCTGCTTTTTTGAGTTTTGCGCGTAACTGAAATATGGCCTTTCCACGTCGAAAGTACGCCTCCTCAAGCACACGATGCTCGGGATCGGTACAGGTCTTGAAGCTGACCTCAGATGCTGTGACACAATCAACTACTGCGCACTGGAAGTTCAGGTGGTTGTGCTGAGCACAGAAGCAATTTCTGTGGTTCACAAGAGTGTCTTTACAGTCATGCACTGCACAGCAGGGGTGGCCAATCGTATCACCATCACAAACAGCTGCCTGCATTTTCACTGTAAACTTATTGAGTCCATCAGAGCTTGCAAAAATAAGTAAGAACTGACTCAGCTTCCCACTTTTGTCCTTGAAGACAATGAAGCACAGATTGCAGGCATGGGGATATTGCTCTTGTCCGATACCCTCTATGAGATGATTGCGCTCCTGAAGTGCAGGGGCAAGGCGATCCTTTTGTGAGCTCTCGTTATGGGGAAGTTGCAGAATAGTTCGTCTTTCTGCTTTCTCAAGTAGAAGAGAATATAGGAAAAACCCGTTGAGTACATCCACATCTTGAAGTGACAGTGAAGTCTGCCAATCAACATTTGCTTTCTCGTATCTGTGATAATTGGACTGAAAGGCAAGTTTGTTGTTGAGAATGTGGGCATGGGGAACACGTAAAGAGGTGTTGTATATTCGTGCACAATTTGATGATGATAACCTACAGAACATCCAATTGAGAACCTGTATCATCATAGAAGCTAGACAACTTACCAACCGAAAACTTTCGTATTTGCAAAAAACTCAAGCAAGGAGCTCTCAATGAAGAAATGTTGAGCAACCTGTATCACATCAGGTACGTCACCATAGTAGGTGCGTGTATTTGAAGAGTTGTGGACAATGTAGTTATGGTGATATCGGCGTTTACATTCTATTTGCAGCAGATTAATGGAAGTAAATTTTGCATTGAGAGATTATAACATACTGCGGCAATAAAGAGAAGTAGTGTAGATGGGGAGAGCACCACTCGTTAATGTGAATAGGGTTGCCTGGTGGGTGACAGGCTCCCCAAGTGTCAAGATGTCTGAATCCACTTCTCGACGATTGACACAGAAAGCATCTTGGCATGATCGGACAGGTGGATACAGATTGCGGTACACTGTTTCACAAAGTTAGAGTAATTTTGTCAGTTGTAAGCAATTTTAGAGTACTCACAAGTTCCAAGAGTCAGAGAAAATTTATTGTATATAGTGATATCTTCCTCCTTGGCTTCAATTGCACTTAGTGTTTGAAAGTCCGGTTCGGTCCGGTTTTTTGATGCCCAGGGGCGTTAACCGTAACCGTAACCGGTCTGCCTTTTCCCCAGAAGTCAAAAGACCAGACCAGACCGCAAAAAGACCGCAGACCGCGGTTTTTTGCGGTCTATAGACTGGTTTCGGTCTGCATCAGTTTTAACCGGTTTATGACCGGTCTTTAGGCCAATATTTTAAGATTATGAATCGGTAAATTTATTAACATCTCTAATAGCTTCAAAACGAGCCCAAGAACGTTAAATTCCGTTAGGAATTGGTGCTTCTATAAAATAAGTCTGGTACATCTATTATTCCCAAAAGTAATTTACATTTTAATTCATATCTCTCTCGTTTTTTTACCAAATCGTACGTTCTTTGGTGCGTTTTAAAGGGTATTTAAGGGGCTACAAAAGACCGGTCCAAACCGGTCAAGACCGGTTCACGTTAACCGGTTTTTTTGCGGTCTTTACATTTCAAAAATAAAAGACTGTAACCGCAGGTCCGGTCTTTTGCAGTCTTGGTCCGGTCTGGTTACGGTCTTTTTCCAGTCACGAGACCGGACTTCCAAACACTAATTGCACTTAGCACTCCCCAGATTGAATATCTGAAGGTAGACCAGAGAGCTTCAATTGCAGAACTATCTTCTTGATCCATAGCCCCCATAAATACTTTGACAATCTTTGGGGGAAGTGTAGTTGGAGGAGCACGCTTGTCTTGCATCTGAGACTCAACATATGGTCGAGCAAGTTGTGCCAGTCGGAAAAAGCGAGGAATCATGTGGAAACCAAGTTTGTAAAGACTTGGAAACTTGAGCAGAGCTTCGGCTGTGGACTTTATATCCATGGTTTAGCGTAGATCCTTTTGAAGTGGCAAAAGCGGAGAACGCGACGCGACGCGACGATAAATGGTCACAGAAAGTGACATGTAGTGACACCTCGATGGGAGGTTCTCTTCCGAAATTTCGCATTTTTCTGTTCCTCAGGACACCGGTACTCATAATTTTAATGTAGATTGACTTAAAACTATGCTTAGTTGCGTAAAGTGCATTTCTGATAGTTTCAAGCTTCTTCCCCCGGGGTACAGAGGGTGAACTATGTTCTTATTGACTTTGTTTACTAGTATTGAACAACAACTTCCACCACCGGCCAATTGCGGTCATCAGGTGATTATTCTCAGGAGAATATTCTCTCCCAGTCGATTCAACGCCCTCCAATTTGTTGACGCGTCGGTCACCTGACAGTTAATTATTTACAACTCTGCTTCAAAAGGAAAATCAAGATCTGCTAGGACCAACTCTAATGGTGAAAAAAAAAACACTTCAAGGTTGCAATACGCCAGATTACAAGGATATGGACCCCTCAATTCAAAGGCGCTTTGTATTCCTGCAACTTCTAGCCAACTTCTGGCAATATGGGGGCGGTGCGAAAATAACATGGGCGTTGGCACAAAATTTCTTCATTCTCGCCCCATCATCGTCCTGCATCGTTCCCTAAGAGGCCTTCAGTAATGTCGGCGTTCTTCCAGATAGATACATCTCCTCAACTCGATGCAATTCCTCATTGTCACATCCTTTCTATAGGTTTATCCACTTCGTGAACCGCAGCGCCCACATGTCTGCCTCCAGTGAGTCCTGACCTGGAAAGACAGGTCAACAGAATGGACTCCGATACCACTCAAGTTGGGGAAGACTATGCCCCTGGAGACTGGAACCCAATTGAGAAGGCTCCTCCCCGATTCAGTTGCGATCAGGCTTCGCTTGCAGACAATCCTTACGATTATGTTGGTCTCTAAGTTGCAAGGTCTTCATGCGCCTTTTTGACTCTTCCGACAATTTTTAGGCTTCTTCTAAACGAAGTACACCTTCTAAGCCACACTCTCCGTTTCCCCCTTCTCAGGCGGAGATCCAGGAACAGGTTCGTCGACGCCATGCACCTTGCAGATCCCACTCAAAACCTCTCTCTAGACTGGCGAGAAACCATGGCGCTCCGGTGATACACGGCGCTATGATATGCCAAAGAATGGGGATGGGTGGCAGAATAACGCAATGGCGGAAAAGTACGACAACGAAATGTGCGATGCCTGGAAAGATGAGGTGGATAAGTTGTTGATCTTCGTATGCCCAGGTTTGCTGCTGAACTAACACAGAACAGGCTGGTCTCTTCTCAGGAGCCGTAACCGCTTTCACTACCCAATCCTATCAGTGGCTAGGCGAACAATCCCAGGATTCTTCAGCCTGACTTCTCAGCTTCATCGCAACACAACTCGCAAACTCTACCAATCCCTTACCACCATCCCTTGCCATCCCAGAATTCACCGTCACTCAAGCTCAAATCCGGATCAATGTAGTCTGGTTCCTCAGTCTCACAGTCAGCCTGACAACTGTGCTAGTCGGTATCCTGTGCCTACAGTGGCTCCGGGAATTCCAACGCGACGCAGCCCTCCCTCACAAAGATGCCGTGGCCCTTCCCCAAATGCGATACGAGGGACTGATCCAATGGCACGTCCCCGACATCCTCTCCATTCTCCCCCTCCTCCTCCTCCAACTATCCCTCGTCTCTTCTTC